AGGATTTAGGTTTCATTCCCAGCACCACAAGAGAAAAAAAGAATTAATACCTCTTTTCAGAGACATTCTATATCATCATTTCCTTTAGATGAACAGAATATTTGCAGTTTCTTGACAAAGCCAGTAAAGATAATGTAAGAGATTGAGATTTTATATGGAAAATAAACCCAAGACTTGCAAAGCTAGAATTTTGTCCTAATATTTTTTACATGATGCTATAGTTAGAAAACACAGAACAACTTTTATTGAGTCAGTCTAATTTATCCAGAGTCATCTTAATAGAAATATTACATTTTTAATATAATCTGTAAACCCTATATTTAAAAACCAATTTTATGTTTCATATTTTTTAAAAGTACATTTTCTAATTGAATGTTCCTCTTCCTTATACCCAAGTAACCAAGGCAATTAGCTTAACTCTGTTGACTTTCTTTTAGGGTGATAATTAAAAGCTGTTTGGAATAGGAATATATACTTCATTAGAGTTTATAGTCTGATTTTTCTCCCTTTTTTGTTATGTATCTGGACAATCTGAGTGTTCTAGGGTATGTACACTATGGCAAATTGATTTCTGATCACAACTACTAAATTTTCTAGAAACAGGAAAAAGAAAAATGAGTCTGAGAGTTCATAATGTAAGAAAAATTATTATAGAGACAGTGTAGCCAACTGACAGGACAGTTGGTATCAGAGTAGTACTTTAGCAGATCTTCATCAAGCAAGAGAAAAATTAGTACACATCTAATCAAATAACCAAAAGCAAATAACCAAAAATAACTTTATTCTGATGACAAACAAAGTAAGTATCAATTAACTTTGTGTGAACAACCAAAAAGGATCATAGCTCAAAAGAAGTGCTAGATCTACTACTTCATCATACACAAAGCCCTCAGAGACTTAGAGAATTCAATGAAGCTCAGTTTGACCAATATGACAATACTGTTAGCATGTCTTTTTCTCTGAGTCTTGATGGTACTTCAATGACTGTCAAAGTCCTCATGAAGAGACCAGAAGAGACACCTGTTGATCAGACCAAGTTGGATATATTTAATGTTTCTAAACATGGGAAACTGTCATCTTGATAATGTATAAGAGGAAAAATTTTTTACCTCCACTCATCTGAGTTCTTAGATGCAGCTCCTCTAACAAGAGACAGATTAAAAATTTTAAAGAACGGAATCTGTGAATACATACACATACATGGTAAGATGTCTTCAACAAAAAATAATAAATTCTTAAAGTAGCAATAAGATTTTTTTTTTAAAGCCTGAATCTCTGGTGGCAGCAGCCTTTATCTGATGACAGATAAAGGATAGTTAGTAAAGTTTGTTGTAAAGATTCCTCTGGTGCCATTCCTCTGCTGATAAGGGTCTTCTAAAGCTTTCTGCTTCTGGTAGAAAGGGGAGGAGGGGCTTGTTTATAAACTCATGTTCTGCTTTTAGGCAAATGAAGGGAAGACAGAGCTTTGCTTACTTTTTTTCTTAATTGCCTGCAGCTCCAAAATCATCCTTTAACAGTATTATATGGGGTAACAAATTCTGCTACTCTTCAACAGAACCTCAGTATCTCAAGAGAAAGTTATAGAATTGCTTAAAGAATTTTGAGAATGCCAGGTGCCTGTGGCTCATGCCTGCAATTCTAGCTACTCAGGAGGCTCAACTCTGAGGATGGCAGTTCAAAGCCACCTGGTTGTGAGACTTGTCTCTAATTAACCACCAGAAAAGGCCAAAAGTGGCATTGTGGCCCAAGTGGTAAAGTGCTAGCCTTGAGCATACAGGATCAGGGACAGTACCCAGGCCTGAGTTCAAGCCCCAGGACTGACAGGCGTGCACGCACGCACGCACGCACGCACGCACGCACGCACGCATGGAATTTTGAGAACTGGTTTAAACTACCTGGAATTTTTTTTTTTTGTCGGTCATGGAATTTATAAAATAGATGATTAGCTAGAACAAGTAGTCTTACCTTTTGGAGCACCACAAGACTGTGTAGAGTTCATGTTAATCAATTGCCCATGGTCCTATTTTGGAGTATATAGATCTGAATAAGCTTGTGTTAAAAATACTTGGGGGTTGGAAGCATGACTCAAGTGAGAGAGCACTGCCTAGCAAGCATGTGGCCATGAGCTCAAACCGCATGTGTCATGGTACAGTTTACCAGTTGATTTATATAGCATAAGCAAAGAGCAGTTTTAAAACTTTTAAAGAAATTCAGGCTGGGCGTTGGTGGCTCATGCCTGTAATCCTAGCTACTCAGGAGGCTGAGATCTGAGAATCATGGTTCAAAGCCAGCATGGGCAGGAAAGTCCATGAAACTTTTATCTTCAATAAAGCACTAGAAAACCAAGTGGTGCTGTGGCTCAAGTGGTAGAGCACTCACCTTGAGCTGAGGAGCGCAAGGACAGCTCCCAAGCCCAGAGTTCAAGCCCCACGACGGACAAAAAAAAGAAAAAAAAAGAAATTCAAATAAAAAAATAGTGAATGCCTAGAATTGAGAATTTAAGCTGTTAATATGAAGTTATAGACAGATTGATAACACAGTAAATGAAAATGAGGGGTAAGAAAGAAATTAAAATGTTCCTGGGCCCAGCCCAATGTCTCATACCCCTATTTCCCAGTTATGGAAGAGACAGAGATGGGGAGGATTTTGGTTCAAGACTAGCCTAGGCAAAACATTAGTGAGACTCCTATCTGAACCAATAAGCATGCATGATGATGCATGCCTATAATCCCAACTATTCATTAGGCTGTAGGGAGGGGCATCATAATTCAAAGCTGACCCCAAGTGAAAGAAGAAGAGAGTAAAGAGGGAGGCTAACTGAAAAGAAAACCAAGAGAGGACTGGAGCATGGTTCAAGTGGTAGGGTGCCATCTTAGCAAGCTCAAGGCAAGTTTAAGCTCCAGCACTGTAAAAAAAAAAAAAAAAAAAAGATTGTTGTGAATAACTGAAGTATTTGGGAAGAGAATGGACAGCAAAGAGAACAGCAAAGAAGATTCAAAAATTGAATATTTGAAAACTGAGAAGATAGTAGTATCATTGATAATACCAAAAATAAAGTTTAAAAAAAATTTTTTTTTTGGTCCGGTCGTGGGGCCTGAACTCTGGGCCTGGGCGCTGTCCCTCAGCTCTTCAGCTCAAGGCTAGCACTCTACCACTTGAGCCACAGCACCACTTCCAGCTTTTTTTTTTTTCTGCTTATGTGGTGCTGAGGAATCGAACCCAGGGCCTCATGCATGCAAGGCAAGCGCTTTACCACTGAGCCACCTTCCCAGCCCTAAAGTTAAAATTTAATATGTGGTATATAACCCAAGTTTCAGGGTTATTTTGTTTCATTCTGTGGTTTTCACTCTTGTATATTTTAGCTGTATTACTAATTCCCAACATGATTGGAAATAAGATTCAGTTGTAAAGAAGAAAACTTCCGTTTCTGTTCATATTTATATTAGTATCCAGTCTAACAATCTGACACTTAATTCTGTGTTTTCCTTGGAATTATTTAAAATGAATTATAAATCCCACACCATCATTTAACTAGCTATTACTTCTTGTCCATTTACAGATAAATAACTCATCCTTCAATGATTCTAATGATTGTTATTCCCAGAACTGTTTCCAACAAAATAACAGAAAACAAAATGGGAACGAAATCATCCCTATACAAAGAAAACCTTATTTACTTGGTAGTCAATACTCAAAAGAAAAAAATAGCCGGGCGCTCGTGGCTCACGCCTGTAATCCTAGCTACTCAGGAGGCTGAGATCTGAGGATCTCGGTTCAAAGCCAACCCGGGCAGGAGAGACCGTGAGACTCCTATCTCCAATAAACCACCAGAAAACCGGAAGTGGCGCTGTAGCTTAAGTGGTAGAGCGCTTGCCTTGAGCTGAAGAGCTGAGGGACAGCGCCCAGGCCCAGAGTTCAAGCCCCACGACGGACAAAAAAAAAGAAAAAAAATAGCATAAAGACAGAGTATTCCTTCTAAAGTAGCTTGTCTGATGAAGTTAGAGATCCAACTTTTCCTTTATAAATTATAATGACTTGCCAGGCACTGTGGCCCACACCTGTCATCCTAGTTACTCAGAAGGCTGAGATGGGAGGATCAAAGTTTGAGGCCAGGGCTGGGAAGGTAGCTCAGTAGTAGAGTGCTTGCCTTGTATGCATGAGGCCCTGGGTTCGATTCCTCAGCACCACATAAGCAAAAAGAAAAAAGCCGGAAGTGGCGCTGTGGCTCAAGTGGTAGAATGCTAGCCTTGAGCTGAAGAGCTGAGGGACAGCGTCCAAGCCCAGAATTCAGGCCCTATGACCGGACCCAAAAACAAAACAAAACAAAGTTTGAGGCCAGCCCTGGCAAAAAAGTTCATGAGGCCATCTCAACCAATAAATGCTGGCATCCATGTATCACTGGTTTTCATGTGTGGAGACAAGAATTACTTAAGTTTGTTAGTCTCAGAAACAAAACATTTGTTTCTCTTAGCAAGGTTTAATTTGCTTTTTAATGATATTGATCCAAGTTCAGAAAATAAAATTCTAAAAAGCTTAAAAGAAAAAGAAAAGGATCATTATTCTCTTTAGTCCTGAGAATATCATGTCTCACAGTCTCTACTTCAAATGTTATCATTGAAAGCTAAATTGGAAAACTGGGAGAAAAAATATAGTTGTTTTATTTAGTTGGACAATAACCAATTACTAGGATGTAGAATTATTGTCAAATTAAGCTGAAGCTAATATGAACTTTAACCTGTTGTTCAATCATAATTGAAATTTCTGGTTTTTTGTTTTGGGTTTTTTTTTTTTTTAGCTCTGTAGGGACATTTTCTCATTCTTCTTTACTCCCAATACTTATTCAAAGATCTTTTGAGCCTGTACCCTCCTACATGCCTGATACTGTTGCAGGTGCTAGAAGAAAAATAAAAATATTTTTTCTATTAGAAATAGACAGCATTGTCTTAAGAAATTTATTGGTTATGGGGTTTTTTTTTATTTTTTATTTTTTGGCTTTGTAGCTGCTAAATCCTGAAGATGACCTCTTACCAGGAAAGATTCGAGACAGCAATCGTTCAACCCTCCTAGCAACAATTCAGGAACATGGTTACCCCACAATCAACTTGGGAATTGTGGGAGACAAGTAAGTATGGCATTTTATTTTGGAAAGTTATATAAATATGAAGTAGTAGAAATTGCTAATTTAATTTTTACAAATTTAATACTAATTTTTTTTTTTTTGTCATGGGGCCTGAATTCTGGGGCCTGTGTTCTGACTTTGCGCTCTTCAGCTCAAGGCAAGTGGTCTACCACTTGAGCCACAGCACCACTTCCGGCTTTCTAGTGGTTATTTGGAGATAAGAGCCTCACGGACTTTCCTGCCCAGGCTGGCTTTGAACCATGATCCTCAGATCTCACCCTCTTGAGCTAGGATTATAGGCATGAGCCACCAGTGCCTGGCCATAAATTGTTTTTTGTATCTTTATGTAACCCAAGTTTCTCCTAGTTTTATGCAATTACAAATAAAAAGGAATGCACATTGACTATAAACACTACTGTAAGAGCCATATTGTTCCATCTGCCAAATTACCTCAGCCCTCCAGTGAATTCAGCAAACATTTCTGGAATCTCCAGTGGTGTGTTAATCAAAAGAAAGTCTCTGCTTTCTAACCATCCTGCTCCCATGCAACATTGCTTGGCCCTTTCTTACCAGACGCTGTTTCTATGTTACTAGAGAAGTCTCTTCTTTACTAACACTCAAACATCAGCCTGGCTGATCATTCTGAGTGATACACCAAGATGCATCAGTCACCATAGTTGCCTCCCTCTCTTACTTACTTAGCACTACCTTGTCACTTGGTAAAGCTCATTGTGCAGAGATCCGTGGATCAAATGTACTTTTGAAGAGGCTTTGCCCTACCATTCATGAGGAATGCTCTCACAACCTACTCTACCAAAGCCATCTTAGATATAAAGTAAACACACTACCAACCTTCCACACAAACAACATCATACTAATAGCTCTCAAGGACTTTTCTTCCTCCTGATTTTTTTTTCCTCTTAAGACATTAGAGAAGTTGTTTGGGGCATTTTAAGCATCATTTTTCATTTGTATTAGTTTAAATAAGTTCAGAATTAAATAACAAATGATCTTAGAGCACATGCTGATGAAGCCAATGTCTTAAGTTGCCCAGTATGAAGGTCCTTTTGGTATTTTTGAGACCAAAGTCTTACTATGCAGTTCAAGCTGGTCTAGAACTTGCTTAAAATCATGATCCTCCTTCCTCAGCCTTTCAAGTGCCTAGGCTACTATACCCAATGTTGTATTTTATTAAAAGTGCTTAATATAATATACATATTGATAGTACCTTATTCTAAAGCCAGAACACTATTGAAAGTCTCTCATGATGGTTTAAATTGTATGGGAGTCCACACTCTTGACTTGTGCCCACATTTCCCAATAATTAGTATTAGTATTATATTTAACTCCAAAACATATCTTGAAAACAGCATAAAGAACAATGAACAGACACAGAAATAAACAGCTCAGCGAAATGTGAAAATGTCTACTGTATATACTTTTATTTGATAGTAATACCTAATATCAAACAGAACATTTTTAAAAGAGATTTATATAAATTTAGGCTTCTTCAGTCTAGAATGTTTTACTTAAAAAGCCCAGAATGAATGCTTTAGAACACAGAGGTGGGTTGTGGGAGGAAAGAATTTATAACTATTCTCATGAAAATATGTACTAGCAAAAGAAATAAGGTACATTTACTCTATAGCTTGTTGAGACTCTGAGTGTTGCCTCCTCCTTCATTCTACCTCTTCCCATGTAGCCCTTCGCTAATAAGAGCACATGGTATTATTATACAGAACTTTCTGGGAGAAACTCTCCAGGGAAACTAGCAGAATCATAGGGAGAAACTCTTCCCTGTGTTTAAAGCAAAGAAATAGCTCAAGAATGCCCTCAAATACAGATTTTGCATTTCTAAGAAACTCCCAGTTGATAGGAAGCTGCTGGTTTGTAAATCACAGGAAGTAGCAAGGTTGTAGACAATTGAACCACAGGTCTGGTATAAATTTTAGATCAACCACTAAAACAGATAAAGATCCTGCCACTAGGCTAAAGAGTAACAGTTCTATTCTTGTTCTCTTAAGAGGCTTAGATGTTGGGTGTAGTGGCTCTCACCTGTAATTCTAGCTATTCAGGAAGTAAAGATCAGGAGGATCATGATTTGAGGCCAGCAAAATATTCATCAGATCGCATCTCAGTCGTCAGGTGGGGGCATGTACTTGGGATCTCTGTAAGGCAAGAAGCATAGGTTGAGGGTTGTAGTCCAAGGTCTACTCTAGGCAAAAAAATTGATAGATGTAGTGATACACACCTATCATCCCAGCTTCTTCAGAAGTGGAGATAGGAGGCCAGTGGTTTAAGGCTTATGTTTAGCAAAAATTAATGAGACCCTATTTTAAAAACAAGCCAAATATGTTGATGTACACTCAATAAGTAGGTATAAGAAGATTATAGTGCCCAAGGTCAGCCCCAGGAAAAGCCCAAGACCCCATCTGAAAAAAATAAGAGTTCTGGGTGCATGGAGTAACTGGTAGAACTTTTATTTAGCAAGCATTATCTTGCACTCAAAAAAAAAAAACTCACTATTCAGATTGAGCCAAGTACAGATATTACATAGCCTATCAGAAGAACAGTAGCACTGTGGGCTGGAATAAGAAAGTTTTATAAATATGCAATTCCAACAAGAATTTGAAGAATTAGTAAGATTTAGACAGTAAAAGAGAATGTGTAAATTCAAATTATTTTTTTAAAGTAACAAAAATAAAGAAGTATTAAAAAAGAAAAAGAGGCTGGGTGCCAATGGCTCACACCTATAATCCTAGCTACTCAGGAGGCTGAGATCTGAGAATAGTGGTTCAGAGCCAGCTGGGGCAGGAACGTCTGTGAGACTCTTATCTCCAATAAACCACCAGAAAACCAGAAGTGGTGCTGTGGCTCAAGAGGTAGAGTGCTAGCCTTGAGCTGAAGAGCTGAGGGACAGCGCCCAGTCCCAGAGTTCAAGCACCTTGACCAACAAAAAAAAAAAAAAGTAAATGAATAGTTATTCAATATGATTACGACAGAAGGAATACAGGTAACTTAGTAGAAAATCAAAATCAAATGTTTAAAAGGGCTTAAAATCTAGATGGAATGCCAAAAATCAGTTAAATAGGAAGCAAAAAAAGTAGTTTAGAAATTTAACTGAGATGAATCAGATGGGCTAATGATAGACACTGGATAGAGAAACACTAGAAATAAAAAGAACAATATATATTGTTCATTGTTTAGTCAAGTCACCAGAAAATCATGTTTACCTGTAAGGATTCCTCAGTCTTATTGAAAATTCTATTACGCAGCAAATCAAATGGCATCTGATCTTGTATTTCTAACAAGCTCCCAGTTGATGTAAGGTTTAGGTCCAAGGAACACAGGCAGTATCAAGGTTATAGTCAATTCAATCACACATCTGCTATGAATCCTAAGTCACCCAATACTGACTTAGAATATACATACTTAGAATATACATATTGGTTATTGAATAATATTTTATATAAATTAAAAAGAAAGATCAAATCAAAAGGAAAATGTGAAGGCTACTACATAGCACTAAACGGTATTAGCACTGATTCATCTTCATCAAGATAAGACCACCTTGATGATTTATGTATGTAAGCACCAGTAAAATGCCTACAAAATTTAGCTGCTAGGCCACTTCATCACAATTTTATATCCCTAACTAACAACACATTATTTCTACATCTTTATCTTCCATTTACAGTATATGCTTTCTTTGCTTTTGAAGTTCTCTATCTTTACTCATTCCCTAAATATGTTTCCATGGCTTTCTGTCCCAGTCTTTAGGCCACTGACTCCCTGTCTTATGTCCCTACCCTGAATATTAAAGTAAGCCAAAATATTGCAAATTAGCACAAATTTATGGGAGTTTATACACTTTCAAGCACCATCTCATTTAGAATAGGGAGAGGAAATGAGGAAAATTCCAAAGGAATTTAGGCAGCTTTTAACTTTAAAAATTAAAGAGAGCTGCTCTCTCAGGCATAAACAGATGTTCTTACTCATTTACTTCTTGAATATAATAGGCATTTGTTATGATCCAAATACACAATCCACTTGGGGATTTTTTTTAAATAAAGTTCCCTATTGACTTCATATTATTCCTAAAACTGGATTCAACTAGTAAGCTTTTCTAATTATATCTTAGATGTGAGTTCAGCATTATAGCTTCCCAACTGCCAATTTGTACCTTGCAGTCTTTCAAGACTGAAAGGTTGGGAATTCCTCATAATGAAATTCTCATAATTTCTTTCTGGAAAACTGCATCCACAGAAGCCTGCCCCACCAGAATCACGTTTGTCTTACTTGGCTCTGTCATAGATTGGTGTTCTGGATCTTACCTGCTTACTTTTGATGCTGCCAATTTGTAAAGCTGCTTTTTCACATTAAAGCATGAAGTCGAAGATTAACAAGTACTAAGGTAGTAAATTAGTTCTTACTAAACTGGCACATTCAGCCAGAATTATCAAGATAGATTTCACAGTATTTGGGCAAAGCTAGTATCTTACAGCTTCAAACTTATGACCCAAAATTGTCCTAACTTCTTAGTGCCTACCTACTGTTCTTAAAGAATTTTCTAATCAGTTTTTGAATCAGTATAATGTCTGTGTCTTCTGATCATTTATCAGCAAAGTTCTTTATTCTCTATTTCTCTTGAAAGAATATTCTTCCTACTCTCAATGAGAGACTTTTTCAATGGCTGATTACTCAACACCAATTCTGACCATTGTCTCACATGTATTTTAATTTTAATATACTTGCTTTCATTTTAATATTTCCAAATTCAATAAATTATTATATAATTATATAAATTATACATTATTGGGACCATACTTTCTTATCTTTTTTATGGCCAGAAAACCCAGTGAAACTGAAAATGGCCAAAATGATGGCTATATATTATACATAATTTATTTTACTCATGAAGTAAACACCCAACAGCCTTTTGAGGAAATTAGTATGTCTCAAGCTATCTTTTGTTTTGTGGTATGATTAACTGCTACTATTCT